ATGAGTCTGCTGGGTCACCCCTAATCATTTTCAAAGTTTTCTCGCGAGATCTCTAAACTTTCAAATAACTCAAATAAATCTCACAAGTATTCAACATACCACTGCATATGTCCTTTAGAGTATATATAGTACGGGACGATGTGTACTTATACTTAATTGTAGATGACACAACCTTAGATTACACTTGCCTATGTAATCCCAATACTACATTTGATGCACATATGTGACTACCAATCTTTCGAATCTTAAACAGATCTATTTTACCCCATATCTACGCTTTACATATCCAACTACATCCACCATTCGAACACCTCACAACATATTCTCTCTTGTCAGACCGTTCAACCATAAACTCAAACATGTTCTGTATGGCAAAAAATGACAGGCTCATTTTCAGAACATCCTTATCACGAAATACCCTTCATTTTTCTACCTCTCTAGCATCCGCAAAAGATACAACTGTGACTTCACTGTCACACATGTGACCCATTCTTTTATTTGATGCTTCACATATGCATGATGCCATGTCATGCAATGTAAACATCTCACCACTGGAATGCACATTAACTGGCACTGTGATGGACGTATTATCTATTTCTGCCTCAGCGACATCAACGATTAACGGATATTTAGCAGGTTCACGCTCCATGTCCTTCAGCGGAATGTATGATAGCACATTATTGTCATTTTTTATCTTGATGGGAGGCAAATCTTCATTCAGTATGTACTTCAACGACACTGCTACTTTCGTAGGATCCAAATCGAATTCTATTATAACTGTATCCACAACGGTTAAATAACTGCAGTTGCGAGCTATCAATGCCAATGAGGATTGCAATTCATAAAGTAAACATACGTGTAAATACACCATTCTACAATTTAAAATCAATATCGATAATATCATTGTAGGTGAAACATGTCGCATGCCACACAACACACCAGAGAGGTCACAGTTTCGCAAATCAGATCACAGACTCACAAAGCCGGTCACAAATTAGCGAACCAAGTTACAAATAGTTCTTGATAAGACAATCACATGTCGGGTCATAGATCGTTACATTCAAATTACCTAGTTAACAGGGAGGTCACATATGCTCAAAAGGAATAACGAAATGTTTGATGCTACATACATAGCACATAGAATATGAAACATGTCACATGTCACATCAGGGAGGTTACAATTTCACAATTCAAGTCACAGCTTCATAAAGCAAGTCACGCATTAACAATTAAAGTTACAGAGCCACAAATCAGGTCACATTTGACTTTTCCTACATCGGGTAAGAGATTGCAATCATTCAGACTACAGTGGTACACAGAGGTCATATATGCTCGAAGTGAAGAACGAAATGTTTGATGCTAAATACATGGCACATAGTTGGTGAAACATTTCACATTTCACAGTAGAGAGGTTATAGTTTCACAAATCATGTCACATTTACTCACACAGTTCACGAATGTGTCAAAGGCCTCTACTGCGATTCTGATGGTTAACAGGTTTATCATAATTATTATTTAATTCAAATCTATTACTATATTTATTTCCTTTGGATGGTTGTTTATCTCTTATTTTATCATAAAATTGCCTATATGGTTTATTATACATTGGAGCATAGCTTTCATCTGGATCTATTGATTCTTGTTTAGAGGTTCCTACAGGATTAGGTCCTCCTCCAGTATTCATTAAGATTTGGTATTCATCATCTATACTTTCTAGACTTAAATGATCAAAATTATCTATAAGTAGATCTAATTCTTCATTCATCTTCTTTGTTCTGATTTTCTTCAATTTTTTGTTTACCTAATATTTTTTCTCTAGATTCTTCTTCTTCTATTATTTTAGGTAATATATTTTTTCTAAACTCATCATCCATACTTCCTGTTTCTATTATTATATTTTTCCTTTCAATATGTTTTTTCCCCATTTTGGTTATTTCTTTTTCTATAAATTTTTTATCTACTCTATTATGCTTTTCTTCATTTTCTTTTAATTTCCTGACTTCAAGTTTCAATATATTTATATCATTTCTAGCTTCTTTTATTTCATTCTTAATTTCTTGTACATCATTTATTAATGTTCTTATTAGATGTTTTAATTCTTCCATATGTTCACTGATTGACATTTTATTTATTTTTTGATTGACAATAATAAAATACTACACACTCAGCATTTTTACATTCTTTTATCATTTTATCATACTTTTGTTTTATAATTTCAATACTTGTTAGTTCTTTTAATTTTTCATAATATCTTGCTTTTTCTTTATATCTTTCTTGTTTTAATTTTAATATCTGTTTTTCTTGAGTTTTAGTTATTTCTCCAGGTATTAATAATTCATCTAAAATTTTATTATTTATTAATCTTATTCTTTCTAACTTTCTATCTAAAATATTTTTAGTTTTTTCCATTATATTTTATGATTATTCATATATTTCTCTATGATACAACTCATTTTCAAATATTTCGTAAATTATTTCATATGTACGTCTTTCTTTAATAAATCCTACAATTAATTTATGTAATATTTGTTCTTTTATTTCTCTAGGTAAATTCCTAATTATATATAATGTTATTATTTTTAGTTTATTAGGGATAGGGTTGTGAAATATATAACATCCCTTTTCTTCAATACATTGATAATAATTATTTATTTTTAAGATTTTCATGATCTCTATGGCTCTGATACCAATTCTATGGGTGCTACTATGAGCGAACAAAAATCTAATAATCTAATAATCAAAATATCAAAAATTTTAATCTCATAAATTTTTAAGTAATTCTTCAAAGTCTAATAATGTTTGAGAATTTATAATATCAATATCTGTTATCATATCTATGTCTGTTCCAAAAGGTATTTCATATTTTGAGATACTTTTCTTTCTTTTTTCCAATTTATCTATTATATCTTGTATATCTTTTATGATTATTGACCTTACAATTCCTTTAGCAAAATTTTCTAATAAGTTTTCTTTAAAACATTTTAATATTTCTTGTGATGCATATAATTGTTCTTGATATCCTATCTTATCAATTTCTTTTTCAAATTTAATTTCTTTTTTATTTTTAACAACCTTTTTTATATTATATGGTCCTCTCTTATATTTGGGCTTTTCCATTTTATAATTATTCATTAATAATTTTTACAAATTTTTAGAAAAATTATTTGTTAGATTTTTTAAGGACTAAAAGAAACTTTTTTATTATATAAAGGGTTGGTTGTTAAATTTTTTCAAGGATATTTTGGGTAGTTTCAAATTTCTAAAAAAGTCAAAGGTCATTTTGGAAAAGATTATATACTATTTGGGCCATTTTCATGTATATCCC